TCAGCTAGGCTAAGCTATGGATCACACCGTTTTAAAACCTATCCTTGCTAGATAAAGGGGGTCATTCATCCCTAAAAATAGGTTGTTTTTTGAGGTCTTACAAATCGCCACCTAGTAGTTATACATACCCATCAGACTATTCGCATGGATACAGGTATACAATTTTGAGATAGGCACACCTTTTGCAGGCTCAATGTTGCCATAGTGCAATTGTTGTGCCAACCCAGGCGAACTTGTCTGTATTTCAATGCCTGCATTCATGAGCCCTTATGTACATGCCACGAAGACAAATGCATTGGTAGGATCTTCATGATCGGGGCAGGTTATCGACATTTGCCCATATCCTAAGGCTCGCACAACATTACTGACAGTAAGGCGAACTAGTCAATGAGACGAGAAGCACACTCACTTTCAAAGCAGCAGCTTTTCCATTTAACATATCAAATCACCATCGTACACACATTTCCTCACACAGATGCTCAAAGATACTAATCAAAATTCAAAAATCGTTATTTCTCTTGTTTGAATAAGTCATCAGGCGATAGAGAATCGTTCGACGATTTTGCAACGGCCATTCACAGTCTGCTTAACGAAGACGGAACGCGAGGCATTGCCCACCTCTTGGCTGGCATCATGAGCATTGAACTCATAAAGAATTAAATCCGACAAGTGCCGACGGCGCCGACGTGTCTACACTGGCCCCTGATAGCGAAGGACAAGACTTAAACTCTTACTGGAGTTCAAATAGTTGCAGTCAATTACGAGAAGAAAAATCCAGCCTTTCTCCAATGGTGGAGTGACAGAGCAGCTATGAAGCACGCATGTTAGGGCATATTGTCGAGTCCAATCCGGCCTGGTCCACCATCTGCTCCTTTATCCTACTTCAGCGTCGCCCACTATGGTGCGTCTACGGTGGGCAGGAGATTGTAGGCAAAGTACTACGATGCTGAGAGTCTTTCAGCAAGGAATAAAAAGGCAAATATGACGAGAGTCAGAATGAGGTGACGAGATCTTCGAGTTGCCGTCAAACGTGGCTGCTATGAGTAAGTTGGCGATATATGCACCTGAACCTGTTCCTATTCAGTCGTTCATATCTTACTGAGGGGGATAGAGGAGACGAACGAACACACACTGCTTTGCTGGACGCAAGTGCATCGCTATTGTGTTGCGCATGGCCGTGCGTGCCGGCGATCGCATACTGGCACATCATCTTTGAATCAATTTTCCTGTTCACGCAGCGCTGAGTGCAACTTCCAACCGAATAAGCTTGTAATGCGTGTGAGAAGCCTCACGCCTAAATGCTAAAGCCGTTTTCGGTCAATGGATTGGTTCATCTCTACACCGCACAACTTTATTATTTCGCGTATCATTTTGGTTGCACTTCAAGCAGCCGTTTTAGCCAGGTGGATATTAGCAATGAATTGGCAACTGCACGACCGAGTACATCCCCGACCTCTAGTGCGTTTAGGCAACTTCCAGGCTTGGCTGAGAAATTGCGACAAACTACAAATAGCATAGCGTCCATTTGTCAATCTTTTCCACTAGGCTTTACATAAGTGTTTCAAGTTGTTTGTTCACACCGTCCGCTTATTATTTGACCGTGAGAAGGCCCAACGAATTCGTGGATGGTGTGTCAACCGTTTCCCTGTAGGTGTGTAACAATATCATTCATTCATTCATTCATTCATATCATTTCATTCCAGACGGTTGTTGACAATTTGATTTGCAAGTAAAATCACGACACCATTCTGAATCGTGAGTCTTACACTACCGATAATGTAGGCAAGTAGCCTATCGCCCAAACCCAGCACAACGAAGAGTGCCCTTCGGTAATTGACCTGCAATGGTTATGCTAGATTGACATTTGATGCAAGCGTATAAACGGGAACTGATCATATAGGGGTGGGTTGCAGACAGTTTTAAGGAGTATAGAGAAGCGATTCCTTTGAGTAATTTAATTGCCATCTCTCTAAGTGTCTCACTCGAGCAGTATTGGTCATAAGTCTGCCGGATTCCTCCACTGTACACAGCAGGATTCGTTCTTACTTTCGACGACTTCCCGAAACTGACCTTTGTGCTCAACACGCATGCATCTAGGGGGCGACTCTATCGGTAGCATCATAGGCACAACAAGTAGACAACTTGTGTCCCAAAATGACTCACTTTGGTTGTAGTCAACTACTACACATCATGCGCCGATCCTCTTGCACTCGACAGCATTCACACTGATACAATTCAAAGCAGGGTAGCAGGTATAATGGAGGAGAGCATTGGCTTAACAAGCAGTTTGAATGAAAGGCTTTGTGCAATGTAGTTCACTCTGCACCAGTTCTATAGCACCACCTGCTCCAGTGATGTCTCCCCAGCCTCTAGGCTGTGATACAGAGGCCCAAAATCGGCAGCCGTTTTGGTAAGTAAGTAAATCAAGTAATTGTTTGTAAGGCTTAGAAAATGATGTCATAACCTAATCACTTCAAGTTATGCATGGTTGGGGGAAGCGACTAGAATTAGAATCAAGGTAAGCTAAGCCCATCTTTCCTGCCACTGAGTGTGGCAGAAAAATGCTCGGAGGGGAGGATATGAGTGAGATGTCGTCACATATCAATCATCGCTGGTCACTCATCAGTTAGGTCGCATAGCATTCAGGTTGCGTCGTGTGGTCATCTGCGACCACGGGCATACAACGGATTGGGTTGCGCTCACTGAAGCTTATGCTGCGTAAAAGTAGTCGCACAGAAAGTCTTGTTAGCAGAGTGGCGAGGCGGACGTCAACTATGCTACCACAAATAGTGAATCGAATTGTAGACTTGTAAATAAATGATTTCATCAACAAAGAGGTCTACCCTCAAGGGTACGTGGTGGGATTTATGCAACAGTGCTCTCGACACTATGCTTGATTGCCAATCCACTGCACACAGAGAAGGTAGAAGAGCGTGCTCGTTTCAAAGAGCAACCTAAAATGTGCTATGAACAATCGACAGCATTGGACTCGAGTGCAAGTCTCCTCCTTTGAGACATCTTATCACTGCCTAGTAGGAGCGATTTGTAATTGAATGGGCTTTTTTGAACCAATAGCAGGATGTCCGATTAGCCATGCTAATTGTTGAGGCCTCCTTTGGGACACGTTCATTTGTTTATTGCCTAGATAGTTGTATATATGTACTTGTGGAAAGTGGGGATTAGTGAGAGGTGACTGGGTGGTGAGGCAGATTGATGGCTTCGATTCTTCTGAGAGTGTGGATTAGCTACGACCCTCTTATAACCACGACAGTTTGCTTAAATTTGTGACCTTTGTCTGTCCCTCCCACTAGTCCTACCAGCGCTTTTACACCTGCCAGACAGGGCAACGAAGTTAAGACGCAGTAAGGTCCACAGATATGCCTTTACTAGTTGTTAAACGACGTTTTCGTCATATGGAAACAAAGTAGTGCATTGACTTGATGCAATTCGCGGTGTTTTCACTTCAACTGAATGAATGAAGCAGGGAGGGAAGATGCACCTGTGGACCCATGCGTGGCTTGTGAGGTCGTGGGGGGAGCGCAGACTCTAGAAGGTACTTGAAGCAACTGAATCCATGGATTGTAGACGGGAGGCTAGAGCAGAATGCCAAGTCGTAGGGCAAAGCCCACAAGGCGCACCTTTCTGCGCAATGGGAATAAAAGAGAAGAGCAAAGGTCACGCATACATATTAAACATAATGAGACATGCAATAGAAGGGTATCATGAATGGCCGCCAGCCTGGTTGTCAAAGCAGGGGTTAAGATAGGAGGTTGGCAAACTTGGGCGCACCTGTGGAAATGGTTTGCCGTCGATGAGTGACTGGAGTGTTTCTCTCACGGGAGTCGATTGGGGAAAAAACAGATAGACGCTGGGATCAAAATTATGCAACCACTCGGCGTCAGGAATGCCTGCCAACTCCTCGAATCGCAGACGTTTGCTGCTTCCGTTGGCTCGAATTTTGGACTCCTCTACTGTTGGAGGCGTATCTGCCGGGCTGGATGCTTTAGAGACACTCGTATAACACAGATGCAATTGGTAGTGGCCATCTGTTTTCCAAACATTGTTGAATTATCCAACTTGCGGTGGAGCTGAAGTAAAAAACGTAGACGTAGATGGCATATACGATGATCACAATGATGCCCAATCCCAATGTCTTCCTCTTTGAAGACATCAGCCGACGCGCCGTCACTTCCATACTCGAATGCAACAATGAGGTGCAGCACGCTGGAGATGTGCGTATTTCATATTCAAGTGGGCCTTATTAGAAGCGTTTCATGCTTCGCGGAGATTGGATTGTGTGCAGATAATGCTTGATTTGGAGGCGAGCGGATTGGTCCCACAGCATCGACCAGCAAATAGCAGCATTTTACCTTGCAGTGGCTTGCCTACCCACACCTCGCCTCATCTCAACCCAATGACGCGCTGAAGCACTGCACTCCGAACATTTTCGTTACGAAATTAAAATGAAATCTGCGCAGACATAAAAGTTCCACATTCGACCATGTCGACACAGTATGGCCTGCTGCCAATCATGGAGATGTGGCGCCGCAAATCCTACCAAATCGTTTTTATTTATTAGCTGCAGTTGTGCCGGGGTAGTCGTCTCTCCGAATCTGCCTCTTTGCTAAGCATTGCATGTGTTCGAGATGCTATCCAAGTCACTAAGGAAGGCGATGCAGAGTAGCTGCACTGAGAAGGGAATAGCAGCGCTGTTGCCACAACAAGATGTGAAGGTTATTATTATTATTATTCTCCGTCGTTGGAGCGTGGCAATGGGTTTCGTGTGGAGTGCCTAACCTCCGAAGCACTACTCCTTGTAATACAACAGCCACGAGCATGAGCAAGTGGATGGGTTTGTGTTAGAATTGAAGCGGAAGCGGAAGAGTTGCTTCCGTAGCAGTGTTAGTGAATTGACCCCGTATGGATGCACTTAATGTCTGTTGCACAACGGCAGGGGAACTTGATCTGCTGCAGCCGCAGATGGATGTAGAGATCGGCTTTGGGGTGGGAGTGGTCGCGCAATGCCTTATTTCTGTGGCATCGTGCAATGTCTATCAGCCTCATCTGATCATGCAGACATTGAATGCGATGAAAGGGAAGGTTGATGGAGGCGAATGCATAGCGTCAGAACTTCGTCAACTCTACGCACGCGTCGTCCGCCATACTTTGTGTGTAGACTTGGAGACTGAAATTGCGTGCTAGGAAGATGGTGGTGAGTACACCATGCCTTGCCAAAAAGACGATGCACAAGTTGGCACTGTGGTAGCAAAGAAAGTGTTCAAGTTGGGCTGCAGTGTCGGTTGTGGTGCCTGCAGGCAAAGGAGAGAAAGTGGAGGGGCGGGGAGGCGGAGGAGGAGTGTACATGGATGTGACAATGACGGTGAAGTAGTAATGAGGAGAGGAACATTCATCGGCTGCACGAGCAGGAGTTGTGAAGTGATCCTGCATGACTTTGTCTCATTCGGCTTCAAGGCTGTTCTATGCTTATAATCTGCTTGTATGAGTGATTGCTTGCTGGTTATACTACAAGAAGGAAAAAGCTACGCTCACTCTGACGCAGAACTTTGGTGCCAGATCGCCTGATGTCATGAAATGTCAAGTTCGCCTCTTCTCGCTTGGTCTTAGCTCAGCGTTTGTCCATCCTCTTTACCTCATTATTTTTCATCCCTCCAACAACTCTTCCCTGTTTCTCATTCCCCTTCCACTGCCTCTATTTCTTCTCCTTCCTTCTCTCTTCCTTACTCTTATGCTAATCGCTT